TTGGAAACTGATCCTAATTACCTCTTTGAGGCGAATCAGAACCCCCCGGTATCCCCACGGGTTCGACTTTTTGAGCCGCCTATGGGACTAATCCAGAGTTCGGGTGCGAGTCCAAGGATTACGGTACTTATGCCCCTCCCCAGATGGTGTTGGTGGGATTCGAACCGAGGTCCTCTCCCACCACTCATTTCCCATGCTGGAAGTTATAAATCTTTTCTTATCTTTCCATCGAGACCAAGATTGCGTCAAACGGATAAGTATAACTCAAATTATGGGTAAAATACCAAAGAATAGTAAAATCTCCAGAACCGTGGCGCTTTTGGCGCCACCAAATAGTGGGTTGGCGCTGACGGTGCTGTAACATGGGAAAAAGTAAGTGTTTTGGCGCTATCAGTGCGGGTTTGGCGCTGTCAGCGCAGGACCCCCTGTGAAATTCGGCATTTTTATTCAAAAATTAATAACTTAAGCTACGGTGCTCCGATTTGAGCGCGGTTTGAATCCACGCGTAGTTAACGGAGAGATCTATAACTTAGTGGGAAATGAGGACCATAAAGAAAGTATAAAAATCCTTGAGAAACTAAAAAGTGAAGGTGTTTAGTGTTGAATATTGACAAAAAAGAGCTTTTAAGCCTTGTTGGTCTAAAAGGGCTACTTGACACACTGTGGTAGCAACGTATGGTTTAAATAAATTTTATTAAGTGTACCACTCATAGTTTAAGTTATGATTACAGTTTTTGAATTATTTTAATTACGGAAATGATTTTTAACAGAATCGTTTATTAACGAAAAAGGAAAAAAGTTATCCGTATTATAATTCAATTGCTGTGATTGTAACCATTGTTGTGAAAACCGGACCGGACCGGCCGGGTCGACCTGGAACCCGGTGAACCGGTCATCTAACCGGTACGGTTATCACATTGGATCGGTCAAGTATCAGACCCGGTACGACCCGGTGCGACCCAGCTGGTTTTGATGAAAAATTGGTGACTCGGCCCGGGTTTTTAAAAAAAAAAAATTCAAAAATCTTTTTTTTTTTCCAAAAAAATAAATCATAATTGACATATTTGAATGATCTGTTACTTACTGACTTACATAAGTTATGTACCTACAATCTTAATATTATCTCAATTATGCACTATGCAGGGAATTTTGATTTGATTGTTAGAGATGTCGTTTACCGAACCTGAAACACCAATATAACAAGCATTACGTGTTTGTTTGATCCTTTATTGGACAATAATGTATAATTTATTATTTTTTACATTAAAATATTTAGAATTTTTATTATTTTTTCAGCTATTTGAGTATATTTATAATTTTTTAATATAAATTATAGATTTATATATAATCACCGGGTCATGCGGTTCAACTAGTGATCTATTGGTTGAACCAGTGACCCAGTAACCCAATACCTCGACCGAGTCGTTGACCGGGACGGTTTGAATAACATTGATTGTAACTGCACTTAATGTCATACGTAATGTTAACAAACCGATTCTAGAACGGGGCATTACATATGGCAAGTATTATATATATATATATATATATATATATATATATATATATATATATATATATTTCTACAACCACTTTAGATAAGGTTATTTACAGCTACCCCAAAAACTACTTCGTTTTGATTAATGAAGGGTGTTTATGTAATTTTAGGTGAATTAATGAAGTTTGTTTCAGTAAAATGCATATGATAAAAAAATAAACAAAATTACGGAAACACCCTTCACTAATTCACCTAAAATTACATAAACACCCTTCATTAATCAAAACGACGTAGTTTTTGGGAGTAACTGTAGATAACCTTATCTAAAGTAGCTGTAGAAATATTTAACCCTATATATATATAGCAGGATCCTTTGACACTGGTGTCAAATTTCAAATTAGACACCTCATCTAAGAGCCGTTAGATAAAAAAGATCAACGGTGTTACATCCTTACAAATCAGAGTCGTTAAATCTTTTTTTATTTAATAGCTCTCAAATAAGTGTCAAATTTCAAATTTGTGACACTGGTGTCAACGGATCCTACCCTCATATATATATATATATATATATATATATATATATATATATATAGGGAAAAGTATTTCTACAACCACTTTAGATAAGGTTATCTACAGCTGCCCCTTTTTAACTAAGGGGGTGTATTGGATTAGGATTTTAAAAGACTTTTTTGAGATAAAAAATCCTACAGATTTTAAAAGACATTTTAGAATTGGAGAAACTTTATAGACTTTTTTAAAAGCCTTTTTTTACAATCAAGATTTCATAGGATTGAATTTTAAAGGATTTTAATAGAATTCATACGATTTGAAAAGACAATATGGATTTATAAGATTTTAAAAAACTATATGAATTTTTAGCAAATATTTAATATTACCAGAGTCAATAAAAACAAATAACAAAGAAATGCAATTATATTAATAAAAAAAGTAAACTTAACAACGGGTTGAAAATAATCTCAAAAATTACTAAGCAACAACTCTCCACATATCAATAAAATCTAATATAATTTTCTCAATGAGTCAGAGTTTGAGTTTGATGTGCGAAAATAATAACCATATATCAACGGTTAACTTCCAAGGTAAATATTAATTAATAAGTTTGATTTGTGAAAATAATAACCATTTATTGACAGAAATCAAAGGTTAAAATATGGTTGTAAACAAAAAATAGGTTGTAAGTATAATATTCTCCATAAAAAAATAACAAAGAAATGCAATGAAATTAATAAAAAAAATTAAAACGTAATATAATTTTCTGAATCAGTAAAAAATAATATAATTTTTAACAAACATTCAAAATTACTAAACAACAGTTTTTCACATATCTAATGGGTTGAAAATTATCTTCTTTATTGGGTATCAAAGTTATGCATATATGATTATAAGACATTTTTTTTTAAATATAAAAATAATTCTAAATTTGCATATAGAACCTAAAGTTCATGATAAAATTTCGTTTGAAATTTTTTGCAATTGATCTTGAAAATCTTGGGTTTTTGTTTTACGTGATGAGAGTTTTCTAACCATATATCATATGCATATTTTCATTAAATATTCTAAGAAAATTTTGAATCTGAAATTTTGGGTTTAATTACATGAAAGTTTAGAAAATTTCTCAAATTTTTTTCAGTCGATACATTGAAATCTTAAATTGCTTTGGGGATTTTGAGAAACAAGTTTTTAATTATCTATTGAGACAAAAATTGTTTGAAATCGTTTCCTATAGTGGAAAAATTTCGTTCATGAATGTATTGTTAAGAAATATAGGGTTCATATTATGAAAGTTGCAATCTTTCTGTAAATTGATATTGTTTCATTGATGTAAAACGAAAATTAGTTTGAGAGTTTTAGTTTTCCTTTTATTTTTTCACTGTTTTATGTTGTTTTTAATACAAAAATCACACATTTTTGTGCCAAAAAAAACCGCAACCCATAGCTTGAAAAATCACTATTTAAACTTCCAGAATTTATCAAAAATAGCTCAAAAATAGCTTATTTTTGAGATAGATTATATTAAAATCTTGTTGGTTTGTTTTTTTAGGTTGTTTTGTGATGAAAATTACTCAAAAATATGCTCTCTTTTTTTAGTTTTGACGAAGCTCCCATGGCAGAACCCAATTTCGAGCAGTCAACCTGCCAAAGGAAGAAGAAAACACTGCAACAGAAGAATCTCAAGACATCCTAAGGGTTGGGGTGAGATTGTGAGAGAGACATCCTATTTATATTTTTCAGTAAAAAGTCTTACGAAATCCACACCAATAGAAAATCTATTAAAATCGTCGGATTTTTGAATACCACGAGATTGTGATTCCATTGTTTAAAATCCTGATTGAATACCAACGGATTTGGACGGATTTTAAAATAATCCTTTAAAATCTTAATCGAATACCACGTGACTTTTTTCAGTCCATTAAAATCCTAATCGAATACGAACGGATTTTTTTTGTCCAAAAAACAATCCATTACAATCCTTTAAAATCCCAATCCAATACACCCCCTAAGTATGACCGGTCATACTTAGTTATAACAATAAAGCTGCTCTTTTTTTCTCTTTCCTCAGACACTGTCGGCTGACGTGGCGGAGAGAGAAAATGCAATTTAAATGTATGACCGGTCATACTTAGTTGAAATGGGGTAGCTGTAGACAACCTTATCTAAAATGACTGCAGAAATGTTTTTCCCATATATATATATATATATATATATATATATAGGGGAGGGTTCTTTTGAATCCAGAGTAAGACTTTTAAATCTTATTCCTCATCTTAACCGTTGATGGACGGAAATCAACAGTTGTCATTTGTAATGTAATTAATAATTAATTAATTAATGGGGAAAAAGTTTGCGATGTTACTTTAGATAACTTTATCTAATGTTCATCGAAACGACGTCGTTTTGGAGTTGAAAAATTAAAAAATTAGAGTGATAAAGACTATTATAACCCTGAAATAAATTAAAATTACAAAAATACCATGATTTCCGTCTCAAAACGACGTCGTTTTGATGAATTATCTAAAGTAACATCAGAAAAATCAAACCCTTAATTAATATGACTTACTGAACTATAACCATTGGATAAACGGAAATCAAGGGCTGAGATGAGGAGTAAGACTTATAAATCTTAGTCTGGAGTCAAATCATCTCTCTCCCCGTATATATATATATATATATATATATATATATATATATATATATATATAATAAGTTAGTGACATGATACGTGTTTTTAAGGGAGATCTATGAAGACGTGTGGCAAAAGACGTTTTGTTAGTTGGTTGAGATGGAAACAATGTAATGTAAGTACCCTCCGCCTCTGAACTCGTTTTGTATTCTTTCTCAAAAACTGACCACTTACTTCCCACTCATTTCGCCTCCACTCTCTCTCCCTTCTCTCTCTTCCATAGTTCCTTTGGCCAAAATCCAATTTTTCCCAGAAAACTAAGACACTTGATGCTAATTTCACAACCCCTTTTGACCAATTTTGATGCAAAGGGCTAGTGACAGTTCTTCTCTGAGCTTTCAAGCTTTGGAATTCATTGCCCACTTTTTGTTTTTCTTTTTTCTCTGCATTTTCAATTTTCCTTCAGGATTGTTGGACATTTTGATGAGAGGCCGAAGTAGAAACCTTATCCATCTATGGAGATTTTGATGCAGTTGATGTCGCTTGAGCTTTGTCTTTGGCGGTTTCCTTACAATTTTTTTCAGATGGAATGGCAGATCCTGCTAGTAATGGGAGTCTTGAGCGTGATATTGAGCAAGTTAGTTTCCTCTTCATTTCCCTTAACTTGTTCTCTGAAATGTTTCTGTGAATAATGATCATGTAAATTAAGACATGGTTTATTTAGTTCATTCATTTTTGTGTTTGTTTAGAAAAACCAAAATTTTAGGGCCATTGTATTGGTACATTACTCGCATTCAAAATGTTATCATATACATTGGAATTTAATTATAGCTATTGGTGGTTTCCCTTATATAGAATTGTGTTTTCCTTTTTCTAAAAGCTGTTGGGCTAAAGATAAGGTCTTCCCAATTGCAATTTGTTTGATAAGGAGGAGAAAGGTGGGAAAGAAATGGAAAGAGAAAAATATCTTGTTTTGAGCCATTACAAATCATATTCATGAGGAGGAGAAAAACTCTTAGTTGAATAGTTGCATAATTGAGAGTGTAGAAAGAAGAAGAAAGTAATAAGATATGAAACTTGGATCATATTAAGATGACATAATCAATAGCTAGCTGATGTTCTAAGAGGGATAGTATTGTGCCTTTCTTGATGGTTTTATTGGTGAATAATCAAAATCATTTTATTGGGAAAAATGGCAAGAAAAACATTGTCATTATTGAAAAACATGATCTGTTGATATTATATTTAAGGATTATGCTGCTTAGGTGCTTCACCAACTAGGATTTATTGTCTGTTTCAACTCATTTTGAAGGCACTCATTGCTTTAAAGAAAGGAACTCAGTTAATAAAGTACAGCCGGAAAGCAAAGCCAAAAGTTTGCCCATTCAGACTCTCCCTGGTGAGATTTTACTGATGAATTCAATTTATGTTCCAGCATTAGACATGCACTATTTCAATCTCTAGAGTAGGCATGTGTATGATGAATTTGATATATCTAAATAATTTCATATTTAGTGGCATTAACAGGATGAAACAACACTGATTTGGATTTCTCGTAAAAAGGAAAGGAATCTGAAATTATCTTCAGTTTCACGTATTATCCCTGGACAAAGAACTGTAAGTTAAAATACTTGGTCTTTGGATTCTAGCTGATATTTATGGCCATGTTAATAATATCTTAAATATATCCCTTGTTTTTTATGACCATTTCTTTGCAGGCCGTCTTTAGAAGATATTTGCAACCTGAAAAGGATTATCTTTCATTTTCACTTCTTTATAATAACGGGGAGCGTACACTTGATCTGGTTAGAAAACACTTTGACAGTAAACTTAAATTTCTTAATTTGGTGAAAAATTTGAATATATTGATTCTTTTTTTTGATTTATAGATATGCAAGGACAAAGCTGAGGCAGAGGTATGGTTTGCAGGCCTTAAGACATTAATTTCAACTGGAAAGCTTAATAATAGGCGTACTAGAAGTGAATTACCTGATGTGAGTTTTAATTGGAATCCATTCAATGATCATTTTGTCCTCAATTACTCACTGTTTACGTAATGTCATGTATTCTCTGCTTGTTCTTTCAAAATTTTCATGGATTAATTTTCAAAAGTTTTGCAATCAAAGACTAGCTTACTAGAGTCTTAAGCTATGGGAAAAGTTTAATGTTGGCTTTGATTTCACTACTTTCTGCCACTTCCAGTAATAAATGTACTAACTTAAATGTTGGTTTTATTTTCTTTCCATTTCTTTTTTTACTTGTCACATTTAAATGTAGGCTTTCATGTATATGATTTCATTGAACTCTGCAAATAATGTGAAATGTGTAGTATAGTCTATTTTACTTTTCATTTAAATGTGTTGGAAGTCTCTATCAAATATATTACAATCCAAACACTGAACCAACAACAGAGAACAGGAATTTTCTATATTTTCATGGAGTTTCAAGAAACATTACTGTTGAGATATATAGTGGCGTGGGGACTCCCACCCTTTGAGCTAGCTTTTAGGGTGGTGTATCCCAAGGTTCTTTACATGATATCAGAGTCTCACCGCCCCCCACTTTCTCTTGTGGAATTTCTTAGCACAGGTAGGCTGGGCCTGTTGCATTGTCCACTCTTCAAGCCCAATGGGTTTTTATGTGAGGGGGGGCGTGTTGAGATATATAATGGCCTTGGGCACTCCCACCCTTTGAGCTAGCTTTTGGGGTGGTGTATCCCAAGGTTCTTTACAATTACAATCCAGATGATAGTGAAACAGTGACACAATTACAGCGGAAAGGAAAATTAACAAGTGACTGGGCAATGAAAAACAAAGCAGAAAAGGAAAATGATAGTGTGAGACAATTGGAGAGGCCTCACTCTCGGAGATTCCACTCCCAAGACTATTTTTCAGATGGCCCTCACTCTTCTCCTTCCTTACTATTTAACCACGTCAACCTCACTTCCCACGCCATTCTATTAGAACCAATTGCAAGCGGTCATAACTGCCTTGCTGAGTCAGCCATATTGCTTTCTCTAAATTGTCATTAGGGTGGAATCGTATCACAGTTCTTTGAGATTATGCACCTTCACAAGTCAATCTAATGAAATGCAAGTCTTCTAAGAGGTTGCTGTTTATGTGAATCCTGGGAAAGTGAACCACATATATTTGTTGTGTCATGTAGTGATCATTCATTAAAAGTCTATATTTTGTGAGCATGTTAATCAGGTACTTCTCAAATTTCAGTTTCAGGATGGTGCTGATTTTATTCCAAATGGTCGTCCTTTTGGTGCAGCACTAGAGTTTACTTCAAGCATTGCTCGTGGTAGGTTCTCTACTGATTCAGCTTCTCGTGAGTCAGCAAACCCACATGTTGGGTTAGAGCGTGCAAATATGCAGCCAAGGACAAGTGTTGGAGATGGTTTTCGTGTTAGTGTGTCGAGTACACCTAGCTGTTCAAGTGGAGGATCAGGAACAGATGATATAGAGTCACTAGGTGATGTTTATATATGGGGTGAGGTTTTTGCAGACAGTGGTTCAACTGATGGATTTGGCACTCAGGTCAGTTCCACAACAGACGTGTTGATTCCTAAGCCCTTAGAGTCAAGTATTGTTCTTGATGTTCAACAGATTGCATCTGGTGTGCGCCACATCGCACTAGTTACTAGGCAAGGAGAGGTTTTTACTTGGGGAGAAGAATCTGGGGGAAGACTTGGTCATGGAATTGATAAAGATGTTGGTCACCCCCAAATAGTTGAGTTTCTAGCAGTTACTAATGTGGATTTTGTTGCATGTGGAGAGAATCATACATGTGCTGTATCTACATCAGATGATCTTTTCTCATGGGGTGATGGCACATATAATGTTGGACTTCTTGGCCATGGCACTGAAGTTAGCCATTGGATACCAAGGAGGATTAGTGGCCCTCTGGAAGGACTTCAAGTTATATCTGTTGCATGTGGCACATGGCATTCAGCATTGGCAACTTCTAATGGAAAACTTTTTACCTTTGGTGATGGAACATTTGGTGTCTTGGGTCATGGAAATAGAGAGAGTGTATCATATCCAAAGGAGGTACAATTATTAAGTGGATTGAAGACTATTAAGGTTGCATGTGGAGTATGGCATACTGCAGCTATTGTAGAGGTTATGTTTCAGTCCGGTTCACATGTTTCATCCAGGAAGCTATTCACTTGGGGAGATGGTGACAAATATCGTTTAGGACATGGAAACAAGGAAACATACCTTCAACCCACCTGTGTCTCTGCACTCATTGAATATAACTTCCACCAGATAGCATGTGGACACACTATGACTGTGGCCCTTACTACTTCTGGTCATCTCTTCACTATGGGAGGCACTGAAAATGGTCAACTAGGAAATCCTTCCTCTGATGGAAAAATACCTGGCCTAGTACAAGACAAGTTGGTTGGTGAATTTGTTGAGGAAATATCATGTGGAGCTCATCATGTTGCAGTCTTGACATCAAGAAGTGAACTATATACTTGGGGGAAAGGTGCCAATGGAAGATTAGGACAAGGAGACATAGAGGATAGAAAATTTCCAACAGTGGTGGAAGCCTTGAAAGATAGGCATGTAAAAAATATCTCTTGTGGCTCAAACTTTACATCTTGCATATGCATCCATAAATGGGTATCTGGAGTTGACCAATCTGCTTGCACAGGTTGTAGACAACCATTTGGTTTTACTAGAAAAAGGCATAACTGTTATAATTGTGGATTAGTGCATTGCCATGCTTGTAGTTCAAAAAAGGCATTGAAAGCAGCATTGGCTCCAACACCAGGAAAACCTCATCGTGTGTGTGATTCTTGTTATGCTAAGCTTAAAGCTGTTGAGGCAGGTATTACTCCTAATTTGAATAGAAAAGTTACTACCCCACCTCGTGGTTCCTTAGATGGCAGAGAAAGATTTGGCCTGGGAGAAATAAGGTCTTCAAGGATTCTCTTGCCTCCTACCATAGAACCAATAAAATACCTTGAAATAAGGGCTAATAAGCCTGGAAACTTTTATTCTTCCGGGTTCGCACCTTCTCAAGTTCCAACACATTTACAATTGAAAGATATTGCATTTTCAAGTTCAGCAAGTTCCATTCAATATGCTTTGAAGCCTGCCATACCTCCAAGTCCCCCACCAACTCCACCTCTGAACTCAAGACCAGCATCTCCATATGTAAGAAGGCCGAGCCCACCGCGTTCTGGCACTCCTGGATTTTCTAGAAGTCTTATTGATAGTTTGAGGAAGACAAATGAGATTTTGAATCAAGAAGTCTCAAAATTGCAGAACCAAGTAAAGTTTCCACCATTTTGCTTTTGTATATTATTCTCTGAGAAACCTCATATGTCACCATTAATTAGTTTGTGAATATTCTTTTTATATAGTTTCGAAGTTTGAAGCAGAAAAGTGACATGGAAATTAAGAAGCTTCAGAAAAATGTTCAGGAAGCTACCTCGTTGGCTGGAGAGGAATCCTCCAAGCATAGAGCAGTTAAAGAATTTATTGAGTCCACAGTAGATCAGGTATCTTCTTTATATATATGTTCAAGCAGAGGTATAAATGGGTCTGCGGGCCTAATAGATACCTATTACTCGTCTTATTACATATAATTAAATCTCATGCTTCAAAAAAAGCCTAATTACTTTCTTTTACATGACGTGCCTATTAGGGTTGGCAAAACGGGTCAACCCGACCCAACTCGTGTTTGACCCGAAAAAAACGAGCTGGGTTAGGGTTGACTCGAAAAATAAACGAGTCAGAAAACTCAACCCAACCCGACTCGAGTCGGATTAGGGTTGGCTCAAAAAAATAGAAAATAAAATAAAATTTCATTGATGCTATAACTTCTAAATTTTTTTTTCCTAAATTATTAATTCATTCAATACAAAGACATTATACAGATAAACCATAGAAAATTTTGCATTTGAACTTCGACTTATTGGCAGTTGGCACCACATTCACACTGTCACACATACTATAAAAAAGGTCATTAATGCACGGTTTTGGACTTATTGGTAGCTGCAGGGTATTTTCGTTTGGGTCTACCATAACTCACAAGCCAACCCGTTTGACTCGTGGGTTGGCTCAGTTTTTTTCGAGCTGAAACGAGTCAGGCTGACTCGAGTTACTAACTCATTTTTCCTAACCCAACCCGGCTCATTTTAGCCGGGTTACGAGCCAACCCGCTCATTTTTGCCAGGCCTAGTGCCTATAAACCTACAGCCTATATCATATTATTTATTTTAAATAAAATAAATAAATTATTATTTTAATAATTTTGAATAAAAAAGAAATATTATTTTAATTATTTTTTTAATTATTGAATGACTAATAGGCTTAAACAGATTAACAGACCTTGGTCAAGGCTTTTGTTTATTAATATAGGTCATACAGACTTATAATTTGGACCTACACAATGCTAACAGATCAGAGCAGACATAAAATATTTTACACAAGCTTAACTTATTTAAGTCAAAGTCTAAACCAGCCTCGTTCTATTTACACCCATAATTCCAAGGCTATATCTGAACTTGTTTAAATTTGATTTCATTGCTCCAATTATTGAACAACGATAAATTAATAAAGGGAAACTGGAATAAAATATCATGCAAGTGGAGACATGTTAAGAAATCTTTGGCAATAAATCAAAAAATTTATAGTATATAATGCTAACTAGGTAACTTGTCTTTGGTTTTATCCAGTTGAAGGAAATGACTGAGAAGTTACCACCAGAAGATTTGGAAAGTGAAAATTTGAGAACCATGCTAACTCGAGCTGAAGATTTTCTAAAAGAAAATTCAGAATCTGAAACATCTTCTGTACCATCAAACTTGGAGTCCGAGCAACAAAATGAACCGAATACACCAGCCTCAAATAGTGACTCTTCCAAACTGCAAGAACACAGAATAGAAGAAGATAATGAAGCTGAAGGAGATAACCAATCTCAAGACGGAGGAAATGTCCTTCAAGAAAGTAATAGTTCATCTTTATCCAGTACCGAAGCAACAGTGCCTCCACAAAGCTCTGAAAATCACCCAAAATCACTGGACTCTTCAAGATCAGGGAGAGAAGGAGAAACACAAGTCATTGAACAATTTGAACCTGGTGTTTATGTTACTCTAATAGTAAAGCATGGTGGTATCAAAGTTTTCAAACGAGTTAGATTCAGGTATTACATTTACTTGTTGGTCCAACAAATTCTACATTTTCAATTTCTATGTTAGTATGCTTTGTGATTATGATTGAAATAGTTACTATAATACTACTCAGCTTCATTAAATTGGTAGTATTTTCATTTTTTTCATCTCTATGTGAGGATATGTATATCTAATTATGCAGGTATATATGTGACTAAAATTATAATTACATTTGTACCCAAAAAATAAAATAATAATTACATTGTTTGAATTCCTAGGTCTTAGATTTGCATGAAGATCATTAATAATATGATTTCCATTAGCAAATAAAGAAGTTGCAGAAATTTGAATTGACAAATTCTTTAATTTTAATATCACAAAGTAGGGTCATTCATGTAAGTTACATTCTCAATTTTGGTCGTTGATCCTATTTATATCTAAGAACTCTGATTTATTAGATATTTGAGCTATTAGAAGCAACACAATCGATAACTAAGATTTGGCGTAAAACTTCTTATTCTTGTACCCGTGTAAGAATAGTCTGCCCCAACAAAATAATATTTTTGGAATTCTCATGTGATATTAGTTTGTGTCTATGGGTTCTTATTTGATTATCAGAAAGGTTTTCCATGTCGCTCAAGGTATTGCTTTTTTGGTTCATTCTAGAATATTGATATCTCTATATCTCTCTCAATTTTTTTTATAAATTTTTTATGCAGTAAGCGAAGGTTCCATGAGCATCAGGCAGAAGAATGGTGGAACAAAAACAAAGAAAGGGTGCTTAGGAAATATAGTCTGCCTGCTACTACAAGTCAAGAAGGTACTGAGTCATCTAGCACCCCACCACCTGCTGAGCAAAATATTGAGGCAGCACCTTCCGAAACTTGAATCCTAGTTTACATAGAAATCACCTTAGTTTGTTAAAGTGATAAGACAATAGAAGCATCATTGATCTCCCAAGTGTAGCATAAGCTGTATCTAGGCACATTAATTTTTAGAATTTTGCAGCATTCTACAACATAGCATGGATGTGATCATGTATTCATTGAGGATAGAAATAGTAGTTCGAACTACACATATGACTTAGATATAGGAACATTAATGTGTGCTTTTCTTTATCAATCAGAGAGTCTCATAGATTATGAATTTTACATTAATGATGACAAATTACTTATTTTATCAATATTTTCATAACCTATAGTAAACACCCAAGATATTTGAAATAAGTTTCAAAAAAAGTCATATGAAATTTAAATATAGAAAATATATGTCCTAGTAAAATAACCTGAATAAAAGGGAATGGCCCTATTTCTAACACCTTCAAATTTGCCAATAAGCCAAGTGACTTATATAATTCATCAATCCCACCTCCAATAAAGGAAACCAGCATATCATGGCTTGTATAAAGAAATGCACCCATCACAAGAGTGAGAACCATTAAATTGCACTAGTTATTCAAAAGATTATGAATAACTTGCACTAACTAATAAAGTATCTAATCACCGGCTCCTTCTTATTTTAGGGGTTCATTATAGTAGATTCCATTTTGTGGTTGCATAGTACCCAAATAAACCCATTTATTTGTTCTAGGCAAGAGCCTATCATAGTAAATACCCCAACCAAACCATTTCTGAATAAAATCTCATGAGTTGAAGGGATAAGGTATATTTAAACCTAGTTTCTGCATGTAACATCCCTGTCTCAAGTCGGTTCAATTAATATACATATGATACAAATAGAAACAACGAAAGATTTAACTTACAAAAATACAAATTAACTTCTTCTTTTTCTTTAATCCTTTATCACATGATATATCACATTGCATACTTCTACTAGTTTAATTCTTATTGGACGGAGACAAAAATTGACAGAGTACCGTTTGTAAATCAGACAAATGGGGATTTGCAAATCCCACACTCAAGGTTTTCCTAATAAACAATTTATACAATATGTGATCTCAGCACAACCATATACCATATAAGACCATGTACACATTCATGGGCGCATGCATAACTTGGCTCTGTGCCACTATGTCTAACAACATGCAATTCCAACATGTAAGCATATAACTGAATACTGCATCATAATATAACATGCCTGAATACCCAGATGTACATGTATTAAAGCGGAAAATATGTACAAAACATATACAAGCCATATACAAAGTAACAGATCAGACATCATGATCCACCAAAATAAATGAAATACTAATGCAAATCACAATCCTCCAAAATAATGGTAGCAGACTGCTACCAAAAAATTCAGTTCGCGATACACTCTAACCACGGGTCGTATCCCTGCCCCGTGAAGGCTCAGCGGCAACCTGTGCACCTGAAATGATGTCCCCAAAAAGGGGTGAGATAACAAATCTCAGTAAGCTCTAGGTTTATAGAGAATTCTCCATACCCTTGGGCCCACTCCTGCATGAAAGTCAGATACAGTGTATACAAAACATCATATAACAGATATCATAACTAAACAAAGCATATATACATATCTTGTCAGAGACGTACACAGTCATTCCCAAGGGAGGATCCCAAGCGAAAATCAAGGTACGTGTTCCCAAGGGAGGACCCCAAGCGGAACCAGAACATATCAGAGGTGTACACCGTCAGTCCTGAGGGAAGACCCCAAGCAGACATCAGTATACAATACAATCAATGGCCAGAGATTAATACAAAAATCACATCAGAACCAATCATATCATATTATCAAATAGCTCTATATGAATGTGTAACACCCCGTGTATACCCGAAATATTAACATTACATCGTATTAAGCGGTGCTTAATTAAAAAATGCGGAATATTCTTTTTCTTTTCAATTATGACGTCATTATCAATTACCATCTTGATTACTTAATCAATTTCTTAAAAACTAATGCCTGTATGTAAATTGCAAGACAACTAACTGAAATACCTCAATATATAAATATAAGTGAGTATCTAAGTCACGGATCTACATCTAGTAGTCCGGACAACATCCTGATACATTATTACAACTCCAACTAAAACAAGACATAAACAAGACTATGTGTCATGGACAATCCCCATGCTCACCAAATCAACAGCGTCTCAACATGATAATCCAAATCATAAACTGAAGCTAAAAGCATATAAGCAGCATGCATAACCAGCATCCAACAAGTCAGCATATAATATCATCAATATCTAACTCAGCTCCGGCCTCCTGCCGCCTGAGGTCTCAACATTATCTGAACCTGAAATAAGCATTCCCCAAACGTGGGGTGAGATCTCTAAACCAGAAATCTCAGTAAGACAAGGGGTCCTCAAGGATCTTCCACCCCAAGCTCACTTACATGTGCAATATAAGTTCTAAAAGCATTTTATCAATATAAGTTCTCAAAACTATGCAGTGCAACAGATATCTATGGCATGTGTGTTAACACTATTCTACTGGCCAGAGAAATGTAGGAATACGTCTATACCTACATGTAATACAAGGAACACCGCTTGCATCGCACCCACAGCCTCACCATATTGTATGTTCTACATACTCAGGCTTACCGTATAGGTGGAACACCTCCATGCATATCAACAAGGCACTAATATATAACAGCTCAACAGCATTTCCAAAACATCAAAAGCATGTAACACAACATGCATATAACCATATCCCCATGGGACATGGTGGAACCACAACATGGCTAAACCGAGGACATGAAAGCTTACCTTGCAAGCTCACTATCCAATGCCAAGAGTCCTCACAGCTCAAGTCCAACACACAGCAGATCACAATCTGATTTAGGACCAGCAAGTGTATCAACATACATAACTCAAAAGCATTAACATAAAGACTACGTTCTCCTTTAACGATTTACGTCTTAAGGCTTCCAACAAAGCCACAAGCTCTTAATCACATGATTCTGACTTAGTTCATTATTTACAGAAGTTCAACTTCATCAATCTAGGGTCCACAAACCCCCAATAGCCTACTGTACACACATCACAGCTACAGTTCTTCGAAATCCCAGAATATTCGGATATTCCTCGGGTACATATTCGGATATGCAATATCCGGATATCTCACTGACCATATCCAGATATACAATATCCGGATATCCAGATTCCCATATCCGGATATTTCTCGGGCAGATATCCGGATATTTCACGACAGAATGCAGAAACTGCATTTCGTGAAGATATCCTTCCAAGGTTGGGTTTTTACCGATTTTAAACACTTAAACATGCATTTCTAGGTGTGTTTGACATTACCCAACATTAAGTTATCATCTTTTAGCCTTTACATACATCAAGCTTCCATTTTTAAGCATAAAAACTCAAGTTCAAAGGTGGTGATCATACCATAAGCCAAAACAGAGGATGGAGGTGCTCTATGGAGCACACAACAACTCCCAAGTCTGCCTCAACACTGTGCACGAAAATGCACACCAAGAAGGGTCCTTTCTTCACAAAGGTTGACACTTTGGAGCCCCAAGTCAAGAACAAGACCTTCACCACCCAAACCACAAACTCAGAACCTCAACACCTCACTCACAAAGGCTGGAACTTAGGGAAAGCCCTCACACTCCCTCACCAAGCAAGCTCTCACAAGCCCAAAGTATTTGGAGAAGAAACCAAGGAGAAAGGAGGCTCCTTGGCTCACAACAATGGAGAAAAGAGTGGCAAAAGGTGGCTGGAGCTGTTCAGCAAAAATAGAGGCACGTAGGAAATCTGATCTAGGGTTTTGTGCCCAATGATTAGAGTATATATAGCCACATAAGCATAAAACACGCAGTATTAGCTTTAATTGCTACGCTTAGCATTTTAATCCCAAACTTTGGATTCTTAACCTACTCAATTTTACAAGAATTATCATATTTTTATAATATTTTTCTGAGCACCTTTCCGGTACGCGCTTTTCTTAGCCACTATCAGTTTCTGGCATCAGTACTCATTATTTGGACTTGAAACTCGTTTTACAAGTCCTTCATAACATTCTAGTAATTAACATGCACTTACTTTAGTTTTTCGGGATACTTTTTCGATACGCATTTATACCGACTAGCAGAACTGGTATCTGCACTTTTCTTCCGAAAAGCGACTATCAGCATTCTTAACCACTTATCATAAAATTATTAGAGCCTCATAATAATTATCAGGGTCAATTATGGAATCATTTTCTAATTTTGCATAATTAATTAATTAAAATTCCTTAATTAACGGTGTGAGTTCTTAATCTATACCAAGCATCAATACAATCCAATCATAGTCACTAACCATGGTGGAGCACTCAAGCATGAAAAAACTCCTTAAACATAGAGCTTACATTTTGAAGCTTTATCTATTTGCTCGCTTGTAACACAAGTTACCTATTTAGCTCCAAAGAAAATCCAAAGATGCTCAGTCCCTAGGCACACCTAGAGAAACAATCCAAAATGAAACCCAATAAAATGCTCTTTTTCGTTACGTACAATCAAAAGCAATCCCTAAACTTGATGTATATGGTATCATAATATATTCCTTGTTTTCAGTCCAACACCAATAATCCAGTTTAAAATTTCTTTTATGTATTTTTGGTTTCTACACATACAATAGTAACAAATTTTTCTCTCCCTTAAAATATATTAGTTTCATATACAGGAATAATATTTCTTATAGAAGATAAATTTTATCTCTTATATACAGATAAAATAGATGAAATTCATTTTTTTTCTCTTCTCCTTATATAGTCGCACATATTTTTATGTATATATAAAAGATAAAATTATTTCCTACAATATAAAAAATATTAATCCCTTCATATATAATGCATAATCTATATGAATTAGTTTGCTAGTCATATGACAGTAATCCTTTGCACCTAATCTCTCCTTTGCACCTAATCTCTGTCTTCCTATCAACATAAAGTAGTGAAACTTTCTAAACATGCTCCCTTAAATCCAGAAATTCTGGCTTATAATGAATTTTTTTTGGGT